AAATAAGATCTTTATAGATCCCGAAAGCTGTTTGTTTGGATTGATGTTGTGTTATTCTTTTCTTTTCTTTTTTTTTTTTTGGGGGCTCATTTTCTCATTGACGACTGTAGCATAGATCAGTCAGATGCACGATTTTCTCCATTTTTTCCGGGAGAAAAATTTTAATTCTGTTTTTGCCGTGGGAATATGATTTTACTGTAGTTCAGTCAAAGGGTGTTTAAATTTATTTTTCATTATTTTTGAATTTGATAAAAAAATCCAAAAAAAAAATTGAAACCAATTATTGACCTCCAAGTGGAAATGGAATCTTGTTTTCTCCTTTTCGTGCTCGTTTTCTCGCCAGCCAAACAGACCTGTTCTAGATTGTGACCAAAAATGGATCTGAGAAAGCGGAGTTAAGCTAGAGGTTATCTTCCCAAATATTTTATATATATATATATATTTAACTTTGCATTGAGAAATAGTATTTTTTATTTTTTTGGGTTTGGGAATTTTAAGTACTTTTTCCGTGGTACTTTCACCTTTTCTTCGTTTGGAAATTGCCCTTCAACGGCCCTGACACTTCTGATTTATTTCTTCGATTCATTTTAATCAAATATTCGTCCCATTTGTTCGACCCTTTTACCCTTCCGTTTGTCTCCGGTATTTGCACCGTCGAGCCTCCACGACGACCGCGAGCACACCTTTTTTTGCACAGGGGCTCATGCCTGGGACGGGCGTCACGGACCAATCTTGCTCTCAGAAACAGTGGACTGTCCCCACCCCTAACATGCGGCCTTTTCGATCTTGTCAGTTTGTCACCCCCTTGGTCAACGCTTTCATGTCATTCATTGGTACCCCTTCCCTTACAGGAGGGCCCGAGTTGGGAACCGAGTCTCGAGTCGACTCGGCCCGACTCAATCTGACCTTCATAAAGCTCAGTGCTTTTGAATTCAACCAGATACATCCGGATCGGGAATAATGATGACTGACGGCTCCCTCTCTCTCTAACAGGAAAATCAAACTATACTCAATTAATAGTTGTTTTTTTTTTTAAATAATAGTAATACCACTAGTAGTATGTTTTTTCTTTTTCAAACAAGAGTAATTGCTTATTATTATCATTATATATTTTTAATAAAACGTGAAGGAAGGAGAGCTAGAGTTGAATAGAGTACACCTAGCAATATTTTTACTACTCTAATTATCACATAAAAAACATGCCACTAGTAGCATGTTTGACTAATGATAACAGTTGGAATTAATTAGTGTTTTGGTTGGGATTTTATTGTAAATTTCAAGGTATTTTTTAAAAAGATTTAACAGGGAATTTCTTTTAATTTGTGGGAAGATATACTGAATACTGATTCAATGGTAATCACAGGAAAAGATTCCGATCGAGGAAGTGTTTGAACAGCTGAAATGTTCGAGGGAAGGATTGACCTCCCAAGAGGGAGAAACCAGGCTCCAGATTTTTGGCCCCAACAAGCTCGAGGAGAAAAAGGTCTTGAATTCAATCTTGCCATCTGTTCTTGTTACGAGCAAACGGTTTGAATTGTGCAATAATGATGATTGGTTTTAATTTGGAATGAATAGGAAAGCAAAATTCTCAAGTTTTTGGGTTTCATGTGGAATCCTCTCTCATGGGTCATGGAAGCTGCTGCTCTTATGGCCATTGCTTTGGCCAATGGTGATGGGAGACCCCCAGATTGGCAGGACTTTGTGGGTATTGTTTGTTTGCTTGTTATCAACTCTACCATCAGTTTTATTGAAGAGAACAACGCTGGAAATGCTGCGGCTGCTCTTATGGCTAGCCTTGCTCCTAAAACTAAGGTAATAAAAAATTTTTTATTTCTTGGATTTTATAGATTCAAGCTTGGTAGGGAGCTGAAATTGTTCTCTCTGAAAACGACTTCGAATATCTACTATTTAGATGTGCGTTAAATATATACACACACATAGATATATGAAAGGCTGAATTCAGTAGCAAAACATGCATATTTATTTGGGAGACAAGTTTACAATTAACAGTAATGCTGTCTCCTTTTTTCTGTTTTATGGGAAAGTGACAGTTTGAAAATTATGTAGACTCGCTGCTGTGTCCTGAGCTGCTTCCTTACACACAAAAGTTCTATGCGTCAGATACTGCTCTTATTATTATTGTTATAAATTGATTTCCAAATTAATTTGATTATCCTCTTTTTTTTCCCATTCATGATAGGTGCTTAGAGATGGAAAATGGAGCGAGCAAGAAGCAGCAATGTTGGTTCCGGGAGACATCATTAGCATCAAATTGGGAGACATCATACCAGCTGATGCCCGTCTTCTTGAAGGTGATCCTTTGAAGATCGATCAGTCTGCCCTCACTGGAGAATCACTTCCTGTAACCAAGAACCCAGGGGATGAAGTATTCTCTGGTTCAACTTGCAAACAAGGTGAACTTGAAGCTGTTGTCATTGCTACTGGTGTTCATACCTTCTTTGGGAAGGCTGCGCATCTTGTGGACAGCACCAACAATGTGGGCCACTTTCAGAAAGTGCTCACTGCTATTGGGAACTTCTGTATCTGTTCAATTGCCGTTGGTATGGTCATTGAGGTCATAGTTATGTATCCCATTCAGCACCGCAAATACAGAGATGGAATTGACAACCTCTTGGTTCTCTTGATTGGTGGCATTCCCATTGCTATGCCCACTGTTTTGTCTGTGACAATGGCCATTGGATCTCACAGGTTGTCTCAGCAGGGTGCCATTACAAAGCGTATGACTGCAATTGAAGAAATGGCTGGTATGGATGTCCTTTGCAGTGATAAGACAGGAACGTTAACCCTCAACAAATTGACTGTCGATAAGAGCTTAATTGAGGTTTTTGCAAAGGGTGTGGAAAAAGATCATGTTCTCCTGCTTGCTGCAAGGGCCTCTAGAACAGAGAATCAGGATGCCATTGATGCTGCCATTGTTGGAACGCTTGCTGACCCAAAGGAGGTATTTTTGTGTTCTCCTCTCCTTGTTATTCCTTAATTTTTTTAGAAGGCTACGCTACAACCCATATAAATATATTTGTTCAGGCAAGAGCTGGTATTCGAGAGATGCACTTCTTCCCATTCAATCCCGTGGACAAGAGAACTGCTTTGACTTACATTGATGCTGACGGTAACTGGCACAGATCAAGCAAAGGTGCACCCGAACAGGTAAACCCTCATTATTTCAAGTTGCAATTTGCTTGAATTTTGCAATGGTTGTTGGGCCTGATTGATTCATTTCCCCCTGCAGATCTTGACCCTCTGCAATGCGAGTAACGATCTTAAGAAGAAGGTTCATTCAATTATTGACAAGTTTGCTGATCGTGGGCTGCGTTCATTAGCAGTTGCTAGACAGGTTGGTTTTGTTTTTTTTGTTTTTTTTTTTAATAAAATACTGACATTGGTGTTTTATACAAACTGTTCTTCTTTGTTGTTCAAAACGGACCCTTGCTCATGCTCTTATGCTGTACTTTCAGAAAGTACCAGAGAGAACAAAAGAAAGTCCTGGAGGTCCATGGGAGTTTATTGGTCTGTTATCTCTCTTTGATCCTCCAAGGCATGACAGTGCAGAAACCATCCGCAGAGCTCTAAATCTTGGTGTAAATGTCAAGATGATCACTGGTAATTGAGAATTTTATCATATCATCTCTGGAAAATGAAATCATGAGTAGTTTCTTGAGATTATTGCTCACTTGTGTACTGTGGTTCTGCTGTCTAGGTGATCAACTTGCCATTGCAAAAGAGACTGGCCGTAGACTTGGAATGGGAACAAATATGTATCCATCTGCTACTTTGCTCGGACAAGACAAGGATTCAAGCATAGCTTCCCTTCCGGTAGAAGAACTGATTGAGAAGGCAGATGGGTTTGCAGGAGTGTTTCCAGGTCAGTTCTTTTAGCATCATAGTGGCAAGAAAGTTCTGCCACCTGCATGTGTTGTCTTAAATTGGAAAATTGTTGTTTTAAAATCTGTTCATCATCTGTTTTCACAGAGCACAAATATGAAATAGTGAAGAAGTTGCAGGAGAGGAAGCACATTTGTGGAATGACTGGAGATGGTGTTAATGACGCTCCTGCTTTAAAGAAGGCAGATATTGGTATTGCTGTTGCTGATGCTACAGACGCTGCACGGAGTGCTTCAGATATTGTTCTCACAGAACCTGGACTGAGTGTTATTATTAGTGCAGTTTTGACCAGCAGGGCTATTTTCCAAAGGATGAAGAACTACACTGTTAGTTGTTTTCTTCTCTTTGTAGCCATGTTACAATTCTACAGCTTGAGCAATACGTGACTTAAATATTTTTGTTTTCACAGATCTATGCAGTCTCCATAACAATTCGTATTGTGGTAAGTACATATGGTTGATTTCATGCGATATGTTTATATATGGTTAAAGCTACTCCCTCCCTTCAAATTTAGCCGTCTTTTTTTTTTTTTTTAGCAAGAAGCATTAAACGATAATTTTGTATGAAAGTAGGAAAAAACGAATCTCATATATATATATATATATGTCTTGTTGAGTAGTTTTACCTGATCCAAAAAAATAAAATAAAAAATAAAATAAAATAAAATCATTTATCATTTATTTACTAAATAAAGCCATTCTCTAGAGTAGCATGCAAAATATTAGGATAACTAATTTTTAACGGAGGTAGTATAACCAATGGGAACAAGTACTGACATAAATCTTTCTCTTGTTTTCCAATTTTGCAGTTTGGATTTATGTTTATTGCTCTGATATGGAAGTTTGACTTTTCTCCGTTCATGGTTTTGATCATTGCCATTCTAAATGATGGTAAGATTTTATTAAGTGAACTGTTATATAATTTGTGCACTGAACTTTTTATCTTCTGTGCTTGAGGGGCATGAGAATGTAGACTATTGACACCAATTAATTTTAATATATTTTAGGAACAATTATGACAATCTCAAAAGATCGAGTAAAGCCGTCTCCTCAGCCTGATAGCTGGAAGCTAAAAGAGATTTTTGCCACTGGAATTGTACTTGGAGGTTACTTGGCATTGATGACTGTCATATTCTTCTGGGCAGTGCATAAGACTGACTTCTTTACAGTAGGGACCTAACGTTCTCAGCATGTGCTTTACAAAAAAAATTAAAAATTTGTGTTTTATTTATATTTGGTATGCATTAATTCCCTCTACAAATGCAGGATAAATTTCATGTGAGGAGTATCAGGGGTAGCACAGATGAAGAGATGGCTGCTTTATATCTTCAAGTGAGCATTGTGAGTCAGGCTCTGATTTTTGTGACCAGGTCACGCAGCTGGTCCTTTGTGGAGCGCCCTGGACTATTGTTGGTTTCTGCTTTCTTAATTGCACAGCTGGTAGTAATCCTGTTACCTATACACTGGATCTTATGCATTCTTCATAGATGCATGCTGTAAGAAGCCAACTGTTTCTGATGTTTCAGGTTGCAACTCTGATTGCTGTATATGCTAACTGGGAATTCGCAAAAATTAAAGGAATTGGGTGGGGATGGGCTGGTGTCATATGGCTCTACAGTATTGTTTTCTATATTCCTCTTGATTTTTTCAAGTTTGCCATCCGTTACATCTTAAGTGGAAAAGCCTGGAACAACTTGCTAGAAAACAAGGTATGTCTACTTTCTAACTAGAATTTTTTCGGAAATAGAAATATGTCTTTAGTTGTTTGGATTAATTGAACTTGACTCTCATCACAGACTGCCTTCACCACCAAGAAAGACTATGGAAAAGAGGAAAGGGAAGCTCAATGGGCCGCTGCTCAAAGGACTTTGCATGGGCTTCAGCCACCAGAGACTACTTCTCTCTTCCATGAGAAGAACAGCTACAGAGAATTGTCTGAGATTGCAGAGCAGGCCAAGAGGCGAGCTGAAGTTGCAAGGTAAGCTACCACTCAAATTAGCCTTCTTATGACCTGATGACTTCCCAGTTAGGTAATTCAATCTCAAAAAAGAAAGGTTTCCCTTTGTGGAATTGACAAGAAAACATTTTGCTTTCTGGTTATAGGCTTCGGGAGCTTCACACTCTCAAGGGACATGTGGAGTCAGTGGTGAAGCTGAAGGGGCTCGACATTGAGACAATCCAGCAGCACTATACAGTGTAGAAACCAACACTGCTCAAGAGGGCGAAGTGCTGCAATTGAATGACATAAGAAGATCGAGACATAAAAGTCTTAATTAGTTTATTAAACTTTCTTGATAAGGAGAACATGTTTATGATATACTTCTCCTATCCAGTTTCCTTTTCCTTATGTACTCCCCATTTGAGAAGAAAGGGTTTGTATGGTTCTTGCTACACGCAGGAGCACTCATATTTCAGTACTCTTCTAGTTTTTTAATCAACTTTTCCCATAATTATGGTCTCTGCCATCTGTTTTTCCTAGTTTGCAAATTGCCTCCTATAAACAAAAATGTAGTGTTCATGGATCTTAGCCAGTTTTGCAGTGCTCAGGCGCTGATAGGCGTAATGAAACGCCGAACTTTACCTCCTAAAATCTAGGCTCACCACCACCGCCTAGGCTCGCGTTTTTGCCACACTATCTTAAAGACTTAATGGGTGCATTTGGTTAAATTAGTAATTTAATAGAAAAGTTTTTATTGATAAAGTAATTAAAAAATATTAAATAAAAAGTTAATAAGTTTTTTAAACAAAATTTCGTTAAAATTTGATTAAATTATTAATTGTTTCATATTAAATAAAAAATTAATATAAAAATTATGTTAAAAAATAAAAATAAAAATTATTATTTTATTATTTTAAAATAATTTTAATATATAAAAATATATAAATCACTTTATAAGTAAAAGTTTCGGAGAAAACTTTTGCCAACCAATTTCCCCCTAAACGTTACAATATTTGTGTTTCGTTGAACCTTTCATCCAACCATTACCGTTTCACCACGTGGCATTCAATCCCTGAGAAAAATCTTAGAAAAAAAAAATCCTGAGAAATATCAGGGAGTTGCAGAAGCCTGCATTGTAGGGTTAATAAGAAAGCCAACAATTTCGATTCATAGTCCAGAAATCTTGTGCCAAAATGTCCATAGCACTATCTCAACAAAGTTTCCTAACCAACTCCCTGACATTAACCCCTAAACCCAGAACAGGGACTAGCAATTCTGTTGCCTTCATCTCTTGCAGATGCCAACAAGATGAGCCCAGTGATTCTTCCAGGTTTCTTTCTTCTTCAGTTTTGATATTATGTTTTCCTCAATCTAACTTTGTTTTCTCTTGTTGCAAAAATTCTTCTTTTCTAAGGATTGTTTGTGGGTATTTGATTTTATAGGAGAAATGATAACCAACTGGCAAAGCTAGCAATAGTGACACTGGCAGCTGGGGTGCTGACTGTGGTGTCAGTTGGTGATGCATACGCCGCCAAGACTGGTGGTAGAGTTGGTGGCCAAGCTTTCCGGTCGTCGGCTCCTCGATCATTCCCCAGAATCGACAACAATTCTAGGTACTAACTTAATTGAGCCCTGAATTATTTGGTTTTGTTGAATTTTGTTGGGCCACTGGATATTGGACCTCAACCAGAAGTATTTTTTACGGGTTTAGTTATTCCTTGGAAAAAGAGGACTGCACCTACCTTTGTTCCAATGCGATGGTTCCTATTAGCCTTCTTTATGCAAAAAGGAAAGCAGATTAGATGGCGGTTTAATATGATTTCCTGAGTCAAATTTGAGGTTTTGGCTGTTTGTGCATGTTTGTAGAATAATCATGAAGGATATTGAAGTTCACTGATGTTGAAAGAGCATTTCTTTAACATACAAAATTGACCATATATACTGCCTTTCTGTTTGATATTCATTGAACCCTCCATTAGGCATCTCTTAAACAAATAAAAAGAACTGAAACTTAAAGATTCATATAAGTAAATGTAGCTATGTAGTGCTTTTTTTGAACGGCATGTAGCTGTGTAGCGTACAGAATGGCCAATTCAGTGTTTTCCAGCACCTAACCTATGTGATTTTTCTGGAAAAGGAAAAGGGAAGAAAAAGGAAAACTATTTAACTATTTTGTCATTGAAGAGGAAAATCTTTAGATTAGAATATTTTGTTGTTTATCCATTGTAACTTCGACTGCTTAAGCTGCTTTATTGGAAAATAAGGTGAAACATTTTAGAGATCGTAGACTTTCGTAAGTGAAAATAAGGTGCCTACAGTAAGCCTAAAAAAAGAGCTATTAAGGCCTATTTGGAAGTTCAACTTTTTCTTTGGATTTATTTTAGTAAGTTAAACTCTGTTTTTCCTGACGATTAGCTACTTTTGGGCAGGAACAATGTTTTTATCAATCCGCCAGTTGCACCTCCTCTTGTTGGAGGATATGGATATGGTTATGGAGTGCCCTTCTATGGTGGAGGCTGGGGTTGGTCTCCATACTCCTCCTTTACACCTGGACCCAGCATTGCTATTGGTGTTGGAGGTGGACTCGAAGTTTTAGTCCTACTCATGTTTCTTGGTGCTATTGCAGCTGTAGTTAGGAGATTACTTGGATCAGGAGATGAAGAGGAGTATTAGTAAATGTATTAAAACTTTTTCCGACTGTGTATAGAGCTATCAGCAACGATCTGTTGCTACTGCCTGTGACCACAGGACATTTCAGTTGGTTGCTGTTGTATTTCAACTGTGAAGTGTTTCACTTACCATGTATATATGTGAATCTTTATGAAGATGCAATGGAGCAACGTTTGTAACTTCTGAACCATCTTTGTAGACTGAATGAGATGTGTAATTACAAGTGCAATGTGTTGTTATCTTGTTGATACATGATTTGGAATCGGCAATGACCATCAAAAAAGTACTCTTATATCATATGTCCTACACATTTTCTTGTGGCATATGTCCTAGAGGCCTAAAAGTATGTAGAAAGGACACCGCATCCATTAATGAAACACACAATTCCCACGCAACCATTTGAATGTTTGATCATTCCTCCTGCTCTGAGGAATATGGACTCTTGAGTTTCTGTTTAAATGCATTCAGTTTCCCATGGTTTCTCTGTCAATCAATTAGTTGGGCAGCTGCAATGGCAGGTATTTTTTCCCTCAACTTCTGGGTCAAAGCAACACGGACGGTCATAACTCTAGCTGCAGGGCCACTAAGCCTAACCTTTACAACATATTCTTTGATCTCAACAAGCTCAAGTTCTCCACCTCCTGCGCCAACAAGGTATGGTCTAATCTCAGCAAGAACCTGAAATATAATCAGCTTGTCAGATTGTTATGGCACAAGCCATGAAGCAATCAATTTTTTTTTTAAAAAAAATTGAAATACAGGGGGAATATGAGTTAATTGTCTAACCTTTTCCACATTTTCTTCGTTTAGCTCGAGTCCTGTCTCTGTGTCCAGGATCTGCTCCACTGCCATTATTTCTGGAATTTTGTCTCTCAATCGAGTTTCAATTCCCGTCTTTAGGGTCATGGTTGAGCTTGGACATGAGCCACATGCTCCTTGTAACTTCAATACCACAACAAGGCCATCTATCTCATGCAAAGCCACATTGCCTCCATCAGCCATCAAGCCAGGCCGCACCTCATCCAAAACCTTCTCCACATTCTCTTCAGTTAATGGAAGGACACAACTTGGTGAGACCACAAACCCTTCAACAATGGAAAACCAAAGAAAAACCACACAATCTTAGATGCTTCAATTTAGTCAGATTTTATTAGCTTTGTTTCTCACCATTTTCTTCACCAGGAAGGCAGAAACCATGATAAGAAAAAGAATAAAAATAAGCTGGAAAATTGCAACAAATTCATTACAGTTACCTGCCTTATTTCTTCTAGTTCGGTTTGAATTAGACCCAAGAAAGAACCTCCCATGAAATTGACTCCTGAGAAAAGGATTGCTTTTTGTTGAGGATCCACATGAACATGAACTGGGGTTCTGAAATGTAAACAGAAATGACATTCCATCATTAATAGCATCTCGAATTGTATGAAGAAATTTATAATGAAAACACACAAACAAAAAGAAAAAGATAAGAAATTTCTAAGCACCTTTAAGAAACATGAATGTGAAGAAGAAGAAGAAGCTTGTTTAGATGAAGAGAGATATGGGTTCAAAATTGCAGTGGTTTTTGTTGCTTTGAGCCCTTGTGTTTGAGAAGAAAGTGAACCCATTTTTTGAACCCTCCTCTAATCAGTGGAGGATAAATTAAACCATTTGAATAGAAGTGGGAAACTCTGCAACTTGTGAAACCACCAAAATTTCTAGAAGATTGCAGTACCCCTTTAACCATTGCCATGTGTTTTTTTTCCCCTTAAATTTGTTAAAGTCTATCCAGTAATGATCTTCTCCAGTAGTTTTTGATTGGCTAGTGATGATGATAATTAGAAAATCTGCCTTTGCGGATAGAATAAAAATCTGAGGTTCAAGCACATTGCCTCAAATGGCCACATCCATTTCGATCCAATTCAATTTAGCCTTTTTGTTGTTGGGCCGACATTTGGATTTCATTCTTAGATTTTGAAGAGGTGAGGCCCTTGGTTTGGGCCATAAAAACAGGGAATGAGATCAGTGGACCAGGAACCGGGGTGGCCCAAGAAAATAAAGGTGGAAGACATAGTATATTTGATTTCACAGAAATAAGGAAAAAAGAGATGAGTTTTTCAATTAATTAAATTATAATATTTAAAAATATTATAATTTTATTAAAATATTATAATTTAATTAATAAAATTATTTTTCTTTCCCCTTTCCCCTACTCTTGTTTGTTTCTCTCAAACCAAACATGAATAATAATTCTGTTCAATTGTTTCGCTTTTTGGATGATTCTCTTTCGCTCCCCTTTCCTCCACTTCTATCTGTTTCTCTCAAACCAAATATGAATAATAATTTTGCTCAATTGTTTGGCTTTTTGTATGATTCTCTTTTGCCCCAAGACCAAATAGATATTATGAAATTGATACATATTACCAATTGAGGAAATGAAATCATGGGATTAGTTCGGAATAATTTAAGGATGCCAGATAAGCCTACCCCATATATCTATCTTCTTAGTTGTTACATAACTCGGTAGCAACCATCCAGCTAGGGAATTTCTTTTACTATTAAAAAATGGGGACAACATGCTATTGGTTGCTCAAAGATCTAACCCACAATATAAATCAAATCAATTAAAATAAAACTTATTTGAACTAATTAGATGCATGCTCAGTCCTTACCAATGGATCATTATTCTTAAATAAATGAATAAGACTAAAGCTGTTGCTTAACAAATTCTCGTATCAAGATCCTTGTAATTCTAAAAAATTTTAAGTTCAAATTTCTAGTAGTTATTGATTTTGAAACCTATATAAGACTAAATTATACTTTTTTTTTCTTAATATAAGATTTGGAATGTCACAATTAATTAATAACATTTTGAATTATTAGGCAATCCAGTAAGATCAAAGGGTTTTCCAATTGGTATGGTCTTTAATGGGTGATAAAGGATGGAATAGAATAAAATTTCATTTTTATTTTTTTATAATCACATTGGAGCTAACAATGTATATGTTAGTAACGAAGAGACAAATTAATAAGATATTTTAGAGAAGTTTTATGTTTGAATCTTACTTTTTAAATAAAAAATTTAATAATATTGTATAGTTATATAAAAAGGTCCCTGATTTCTTATAATGTTTCTGGTTTTAGATAAACTATAATTTTGTTTATATACATTTTGAAAGGCGCATTAAAAGAATTGCGTACTTCCATCGACAAATAAAGGAGTTAAAGAAATTGCAAAGAAACCATGTGGAATGTTATTTTCTAGGAAAAAGTAGGAGGTGCTAGAAACCATTATTTTGCACTTCAACAACATACCTAACGACACTGTATCACTCATAATTGTTGATTATAGTTGATTATTTGGAGATGCTACCCGCCTGCATAACCTTAATTATACAAAATTGTTCACAATTTTATATGACAGTAAATGAGTAGATATATATTTTTTAAAAAATAATTAATCACATATGTCTCACTAATTTAATCATGAATGAAATTGTTTAGTTAAGGTTATGCATGTAGCTTTTCCTTTAATTATATACCAGTTATTTTTTTTTTCATTCAATCAATTTTTCTTAATTTTAAAATTGTGAGTGGATCGATTAAAATATATAAAAGAGTTGTTTCTTATTGTATAATTTAATATAAGGAAAAAAAGAAGAAGAAAAAATAAATCAACAACTCATTAATTAAGAGCTCTAGAATCATGGTTTAAGATTCTTGTCTGTTCCCCTAAATTCTTAATATTTACAAACCTGGCCTGTCCAAGCAATGTCTCTCTTCTCCATGTGATGTGAAGGGGTTGTTTCTTCTCCTTCTTCTTCTTTTTTTCTTTTTTCACATTAAAAAAAATAAAGTTACCACAAACGATGTGCAGGCAAGATATTGTTGGTTCCTGTCATGCTATATATGTATCATCTCTCTTTTTGGATTTTCATGTTTTCATCAGATTGGAGTGAAATTCCAAGGCCTCCGAAAAAGATGAACGATTTTGCCAACAATAATTGAGTAGACAACCAAAAAGAAGAAGAAGAAAGAAGAACTACAATGAGGGGCGGCTAGAGTGATATATAGTACATGTAATGATAAAAGAAGCACTAGAACAACGTGGAATGTGAAGATATTGTTGTAAAATGAAGAAAGAGGTGTTGGATCCAGAGAAGATGAGCTTTGATTTGGCCCAAAAATTGAGATAGATCCCTGGTGGGTCTTAAAAAAACTCAAAAGTCATTTATGTGGTACTACTACTATTATTAATGTCTTGATTGGATACCAAGTTGTAATCCGAAATCCGTGCGACTAATGTGGGAAGGGAACCCAAGTGCATGTCACCAACACAATTTTTCTAGGTTGCTATTAATCTCAACCTTGTTGGCCGCTTCATTTCATATTTGGTTAATTTGTTGATTTGGTAAAAGGCTACCTCAAAATGGAGTTTCATCATATCAAGCAATAAAACTACGCTAATTGTTGGTTTAAATAACATTATATATGCTCATTGATCTTAGATGGAAAACATTGACAATTTTAAACAAACTTAATTGTATAGTGCTTGAACAGGCCAACTTTTATTGACATATATATATTTATTTATATTTAGTTTGGACTATTAAGGTGTTTTTAGGTCAGTTTTGATTTATTTTGAAATTAATTTCCCACCTCATGATCTTAATAATACCCTTTTACATCAATTTAATACATTTAAAAAAAATTAATTTTTACAAATTTTGCTCTCAAATCTTGAACTCTAAACTTAACACATATAAGATAATACTTATTTATTAATAAATTCAACTCATATATTAAATTATTATTAACTGATTATGTTACTATCATGATATACAATTGCATAATAAACATTGTCCTAATTAATCCAAGAATGAAACATGGGTAGAGTCAATTGCTTGTTTAATGAGCCAAACCTAAACAAAGTGTAGGCCCCCAAAGGAATCTCAACTAAATGAGCAAATCCCCATCAACTAAAATTAGGTCAAATCACAAAGTGAACACTAGATCTTTCCCACTAGGATAAAACAACATTAAAGGAGGGGACCATATAGCCATTCGCGTGCCCATTCCCATTGTTCAGTGAATGACAAATGTATGTGATTCGGGGAATTCATGGACCCTCGTGCCCACAAGATGCCATTGGATCAGACGATAGGAATACACAACTTATTTAATGTCATCCTTTGTTTTGATGAATCTATAGATCATGACAGCACTTAATATGCCCGCCATTCGCTCGTATCCAAATCCAAGTCATAAAAGTATTTAGGTTCAAGACTTCTACCACACCCAAGAATTATTATGTGGCTAGCTAGCTTTTGTCCAATAATTGAGTAGTATAAATTTGGTCTTTTGATTTTAAGTTATATAATCAGAAATAACTATTTTTTTTACTCATTTTATCAATCTATTTATATGTTTATAACTCAAATTTAAAATCTTTCATTTTACTTAAAAGAATAATTATCATTAGACTACTTAATTAATTAAGTTGTTGGCATAATTACATGTTTTAAGAATAGTGGAAAATGCCTCTAATAACTAATACCAGGATTCAAATCATGACTAATTTATTTGTTGTTGGACCTGATAAATTGTGAGTGCAATCTTCTTATTATTATTAGTCAAGTGCTGGGTTTGAGTCTCCCTCAAGCATGAAAATTCATTTTGATAAAATTCATTAAATACTAATAAAATTAGCCAATCTTGAGATTGAAAAAGTCATGAGAAGATGTGTTTGCTACATTTTCTCACACCCTTTTAGACACTTTCTATTGTTGTGCTAAACAGAGTATCCGAAGAAAGAATGGAGTTAAAGAATTAGCACTTCTCTCCATGAGAATTTATCAAGTAATTTCAAGCTAATAGTCAAATATATACCCAAAATTTATAATGTTGTCAATTTTTTTTTTTTCAATGGGTAATACATATCTACACACTACAAATTTCAATCATAAATACATCACTATCATTAATTTGAAGAAAATAATAACAAGCTCGAAACAAGACAAATTCACAACCTCTAAATTATGGGGCCCAATATTAGTCACTAAGCCAAAGTCATTCAAATAACAATTTATCCCTGTTTTGTTCACGAACAAAAAAAATAAAATAAAATTTCTTTAATGATCTAAGTAATCTATTAGTAATTCATTTTTTAGAGAATGTAAAAAATTTTATGTTTGAGTTGTAGACATACATATGAAATGAGTAAATGAAAAGCGAAGGATTACCCTTAACTGTACAATAAAATTTTTTTTATTTTTTTTTAAAAAAACCTAAGGCTTCAATTGCGCAGATTTTAGGATCATCCCTTGTTTATCTGTGTGAGCATAATAGTTTGTTAGCATCTACTAACAAGGACAGGATGTTATAAAAGCAATAGATGACCCCACAATCTTTACGGCTTGTGCCTTAAAAAGGCTACAACGCGTGCATCTCCTTTATCCAAAATTTATCTGCCCTAGTGCTTTGCTTAAAGATGCCATCTTCCCATCTCTCCCCTTCTAATTCGTGTTCAGGCCTATGACTAAAAAATAGTACTAAGACTTTAGAAAAAAGATATCACCTCATCATCGTATAGGATAAAATATGTTGTATATATAATTTAAATTGTATAATTTAAACAAATAAATAATAATAAATTTTTTAATAATAGAGATGATTTTTATTCAATAATTTTTGTCTTATACTCTAGTAATGTTGTATAAAATACAATAATCTAATGTATTTAACAAAAAAAAGGTTCTCTATGGCATCAAAATACATGCAAGTCGGTTGCTCCGTCTGTAAAACGAGAATCTCCTAAAATGTTTAACACAAAAGAAAGGTTCTCTTTGGCGTCGAATAGATGCAAGTCGGCATAAAGACTCTGCAGCAAATGGCAACCAAGAACCCATTTGTTTAGGTACAGAGGAGACACAAACAAGTACAAGACAATCCCTACATTTATAAAATTTGCATAGGCAATCATCATCTTTATAATAATACCCTGAACCATGTGGTTCTGATTTCCTCATATCCAAATTCTACATTTAAAAATACCGTGGGATTTCTTTACTTGCCTTGGGAGCAGGTATGCATGGTTTTGGTCCTTTAGCTTTTGGAGGAAAGCGATGTATATGGGAAGTTTCTCCATTTCAAATCTCTATGTTTCTCTTCATTTTTTCTTCTCTTGTTTCAAACAGGCAAATTGTAGTTCACCTATATATATGTATCTTGGTTACTGTATGTGACGTGGGTTTTTTGAGGGGAATTTTGGATTTAATTTGGTATATACTCTTCCTAAGATAAGATGGAAAATAACAAGAGGAAAATGATAAGGCCTAACTAGATATTCAAGGATGTGTCAACAATGCATGGTTGCTACAATAGTATGGTGGACAAACATGTCACTAAACTATAGACAAAACATGATTTGTCCTAGTCTCTAAGAGGGCTTACCGAGAAGATTGAGGTTTTAAGTTGCGTGCTAAAGGGGGATAGATAAGAACATGAATGATTCAAGTCTAAAACTTCTTGGACTACAACTTTTACGAGAAGGAGATGTCCTTTTCAATTTACCTCTATATACATTTCTCAAATGTAATACAATCACAGGCAGGGAATCTCAAGACCTGTAATTTTCCACTTAGATGAAATCTAATAGCAATAAAACAAGAATGGGAGAAGAATGAAAGAAGAAAAAAGGGGGCGAAAAAAAAAGAATTTTGGTGGTATTGTAAGGAAACTCCAACTTTCATATCATTCATGCATATCTTCAAATCCAGAACTTGTCTGGAATATCTTGTTCAGAGGCTTATATTTAGGAAGCCTCATAATCTTTTTCTATTTTATAGCCTCATCCTCTGACCTTCCTACAATTTACAGTTTTGCACAGCACATACATACACAATACAATAACAATAATATATGGTATTCACAGACACAGTCAAAGTATCTCTAGTCAGCTTTCACACGTCTTGAGACTATTCCTTTTCCAAACAATTTTAAGGTGCACATCCCTACATCAACTTGGTGCATTTAAAAAAATTAATTTCCTTAGATGCTACACTCAACACTTGAATCTTGATTTTGACTCATAAAATGATATTTATTTACTAGTAGATCCAATTCTTGGTGTTACACCATATGTTTTTATAATAATACAATACATATACCACAGACAATACATTGCTAGTCCAGCCTTTTATCTCCCTGGACAGCCTGTCAAGCCTGAATTATTAAGACCATGATTTTATATTTTAAGCAAGGGCAGCCAGCTCCTTGTTTCTCTAAGAGAAGTGAAGACTGCTTCCATCTTGTGCCATGACAAACAGATTTGCTCCCTAATTGTCTCCATAATTCTCCACAGCTCATCTTAGGTTGCTCCGCATACCTTGCAACTTCCATGTTGCAAATCATGCTTCCTCCCCAGGGTTTGGAGTATTATGAAAGCAGTCTTATGAATGTGGAATGAGTTCAATGGTCCTCTTCGCAGATCAGATTCGCAATCCTGAAATCTTTTTCTTGCAGGTAACGATGCTTTTGCTTTATGAATAATTTTCTAGGTTTTGAGATAATTATGTAATTGAGGTTCTTGCTGCAGTCTCAGTCATGGGTTTTTTTTCAAAAATTTGAAAGTGAACGTTTCCTGCTTGTTTTAAATGGTTAACGGTTCTACTTCAGTTGCAGATTACTGTTTAGTTTACATAATGATTTTGATTGTTTTAGGCCTTTTGTGTAAGCTTCATCACATAGTAGTTTAATTATTCTGTGTTGTGGGATTTCATCATTTCCTATCAAAAAAGGCATAGTTTTGGGAAGAAACAGGAAGAAGTGGGCACTTTTTAGAAAAAAACTTCCTGAAGACGAAGACTAATGTTAAGGCTAGTGCTGGTACAGCACTGAAAGGCAGAGACCCACAACCCATTTTTGGTGTCTCACTATTGCCCACATCCCCTTTTCTTTTTCTTCGTTCTCCAATGCAATTTTGACCAACTCTCATTTTACCCCCCCCCCCCTTCTAAATCCTGCAAAAGCCATTCTTTCATGTAACCTCTTTTCATGTGCCTAACCTGCAATGTTCTTCCCAAATATGGCCTGAATTTTGTACCCTGTCAAGGGAACCCCCTAAGATGTCGGTTCAAATGTTCAGCCAAATTATGTAGGAAGTTTTGATGATGGATACATAGGTCTCTACAGTTTCATTTACCTTGGTAATGTTGGAGTTGATTCTAGTTCACCAGATTTAGTCTTTGGTGCTTAGAAGATGTCCACTTTGGGTCAACTACACTCTGACTCCACCTTCATCTAATGCATTTCTGTAAATACACCAATCCCATTTGAAGGATCCGACAAAATTCCATAATCTGTGTCTAATTCTCTATATGGACTCCAATTATCTGTTTGATTCACTTGACTGGATGCTGAAGAAGGTGTTCATGTTCCCAAATTTTCAGGCATGGGTACCAAACTCGAATTCACAATAAATCCATTAGCAAATTCCTCAAAGAGCAACAGCTTTACTCTGCACTGCGTGGATGACTGGAGCAATTTTAGTAAAACAGGGCTGATACTCAAGGAGAGCTGTCAGAATTCCATGGATAGGAACAGGATGCTTGAGAGACACAACATGGAGGACATTAGAAGGACAATACAAGAGCAGGAAGATGTCTTCAAACACCAGGTACGTAAGATTATTGAAATATATTTTCCTTTAGTACTTAGTAGAACGTGGTAATATGGCCGCTCCATAACTTACAATACCATATCGCGCATAATATTTGAGATATTAACAGTGCCAAGAAACTATGGAATTGCAGGTGCGAGAACTCCACAGGCTGTATAGTGTTCAGAGGATGCTGATGGATGAATTAAAGATGGAAATCAAAAAGAACAAATTGTGGAATCCGGGGACAAGTTCTGGCATTAATTTCCATTTTCAAGGTCTGAAAGATGATCCAAGTTCCAGAGAGAGGAGTGGCAGTTGTTCTGGGGACACCATGAGAATGGTAAGCGGCTTTGATCTGGAAAGGCCGGCGGTGGCAGGGGGACCGGATGAAGATATGTCAGGTGAAGTCAGTGCCGTTGACGACCAAGCAGGGCCAAGACCTACAGATTTTCACAGAAGTACCCAGATGAGCCTTGACGACTCTGATGAAGAAAATGAGGTAGAGCTGACACTGAGCATCGGCAACAGCTCCGGGAAGAAAAGGGCCAAAAAGTCCGAGAAGGGAATCGTCAGGGAGGTGGATTTTCCGGTGTCATTGAAGTCAGATAAAGAAGGGAATTGCAGCGGTATCACTACTCCAAGAAGCAGCTCTAGTGCGACATTGGATCAAGAAACAAAGCAGCCGCATTGGCTTTTCCAAGGTTTAAGCATAAACAGGACATGAGGAACTCTCATGGCTCAATGACTTTTTCTAATTTAGACGTAATAATTGTACAATCCAATCGCTGTAAATAGGCCATGTATAACATTTATTGAACTTTATTCAAGTCTATTTATCCCAATGTGTTTGCAAAAGAAGTGGGAGTTTAATTGATTTAAACTAGATAGTTTTCTTATAAAACTGGTGGGATCTGATCTACCGGAGCTTGAGCAAGTTCCAGCATCCATTACCAGTGTAGGGAGGATATCATAAACTCAAAAAATTAACCTATTATTAGGACTTTTATCATTGTGACAATATATGTTAATTCCCAACATAAACTAATCAACTGAGTTGGGCCTCACGTGGGAGCTTATTTTCCTTTTCTTTTCCTTTTTTAAGCACAAGATCTTCTATGGTATATTCTCACTTTTGCTAAGCTGGGCCCAAGACCAAAATACCATTGGTTGAGTTTAGTTAAGTTGGTTGACATCATCCGTGGTATACTCTCACTTTTGCTTTTGCTAAACTGGGCCCAAGACCAAAATACCATTAGTTGAGTCTAATTAAGTAGTTAAGTCGATCGACATCATTCATGGTGTACTCTCCCTTTTGCTAAGCTGGGTCCAAGACCAAAATACCATTGCTTGAGCCTAGTTAAGTCGGTCAACATCACTCATGGTATACTCTCCCTTTTGCTAAGCTGGTGGTTGAGTCTTGTTAAGTCGGGATCAAAGACCGAAGTATCAATGGTTTATTACATATTTTGATATTATTTTAAAATTAAAACATTAATTTAACAATAATATGAATTTTAGACACTTTGTTTTTGAACAAATTCATAAGGGACTGAATTCAAATCTTTGTTCTGAAAAAAAAAAGAATACACTTATATGTAACCTAACATCATTGAAGCGAAAGCTCAAGTGCAAATTTTATACACATTTAAACCACTGTCTCTCTCTCTTTTTTTTTTTTTTTTCATATTTAATTAGTGTGGGATTTTAATTCATCACGTTCACATTACAAGGGAGCAACATTATTCAACAGTTTTATTCAAATTTCATGGACATCAATCTTGATAGGAGAAACAGCTCAAATGAATTCAGAAGAACAAAGAAAGAGGCCTAATTAGAAGAAATTTCTAGTTGACGCGGGTGCAATCTTGCCTAATCTCGCCTTGGTCACCGGTCAAGACTCCCACCCTACCAAGTTTAGTAATGGCAGTTACAAAGGCCTGTTGAAAAGCTGCATTATCTGATGCAAAGAGGTTGACTGTCGGTTTCGATCTGGGATCTGTGAACAGAATTTGGTCGGAGCTGAACAGGCCCTTTCCTTGCTGAAGGTTCATGAAGTAGGCATTGTCGAAGGTCTGAGGAGTGGTTGGGTCCATGTTAATGGCGATGCTGGGGTCAACATTTACGGGGCACAATTGTCTCAGCTGCAATGCATATTGTAAGTTGAGTGTTGGGTCGATTCTGTTTGTGGGACTGAAGTTGTAGATTCGGTTGGAGAAGCGGCCGCAGTGGGAGAATCCTATGGTGTGTGCACCTACACATGACATTTCCGAACAGAATTGTTTCAAGGCTCGACAGTTACAAGAAATTAATTGCTAATAAGATTTCTAGTAATTAAATTTAATTATAATTCGGATAACTGTTTGCATATTTATATGAATTTTGTTAGCAATTGTATATCACCAATTAGAGGTTTCATATTTTCAGGTCAACTGAAAAAAACTAGAGAGTACATAATGTTATAAAATTAATTAAATACCATTAATAAATCAACATATATTAAAGATATTTAATTAATTTTATTAGTATTCCTGCACTTTTTTTCATGCAAGTAGACCCAAAAAACACTTTTATATTTGAAACTAAATTATCAATTGACATTAAAAATTAAATTATGTCTTATCATAAGATATTATTCATTTTAACTTGTGAATTTTATTATTTTAAACTCAAATAAAATCTTAAGTTTTATATTTAAAAAACTTTTTAGGTAAGGGTTAAATCCTAATTTGCGAACTACAACTGTTCTTAAAAAACTTTGAGACTCCTTTAGAGTACAGAATCGTGTAAGATCATAGGCTAAATTAGACAATAACAACACTTAGCTGAAGCATCATGTTTCAATATTGTAGAAATTTAGCCATTTTCCAAATTTAAATATTCCAATGGGCAATTCTCCAAATATATATATATATATTAAGAAAAGGAAATCACAAGACGTACCTGACAATGCTATCATGTCTGTCTGGGAGAGAGCATGACTGGCAAACATGGTATTGAGCTGGTCCAAATTAAACCCAGGTTTCGGAAGGTGGCTGTTAACGCTGGTCTTAGTAGATATCAGGCCATCGCGTCTCCCCAGTTCAACTCGATAAAATGGTCCTCCTACCTGCAATATTGTTGTTGAACATTGATCATATAAATGTAAAGAGCGATCGACTATGCAATTAATTGTGGCAAAAAAACGTACGTACCAAATTGACAACATCTCTAGTTGCCAAAGCAAGTATGTCAGCACATGAAACTTTGTTTGTGCACATGGGATCACTATCAACTGCTGCCTTTGCTTTGATCACGGTATCGAACCCATCTCCTGCGAGTGAACGGTCATCAGCACTATCCTTCTCAGCCTGATTAGTTGGCGATGCCAACAGCACCGAGGCATCACATCCCTGATTCATTACCAAGTCAATAGCGGCACGCCTTTAGTTAATTTTCAAGTACGAGAAAGGTAGGATTCATATTTTGATGAATTCGATAATTACCCGAACGAAGCAATCGTGGAAGAAGAGTCGAAGAGTACCGGGGGCTGTGATGAAAGTTTGATTGAACTTCTTTTCCACTGCAGAGCGGACTAATGACTCAACGTTGGGGCAGGTGTTAGCATAGAAGTTTTGGCTGAGTTGAGCAGAAGCAGAAGCTAAGAAGAGAGGGAGAAGAATGAATGACACAACAATCGAGTTTTGATTTTCCATTACTTGAAGATTTTAATTTGTTACTACTTAATGTTATGCTCCATTGTCAAGTTTTGAAATTCTGTATATATAATATGGCAGTTGGGACAGTTAATGGGATTGGTCTCAATGTGATGAAGATTGTCAAGGAGATCTTAGATTGCTCACGAGATGATTCTTTCCTTAACAAGAGGCACATTCAATTTTTTATTTTTTTTATTATTTTTTTTAATCCCTGACGGTGGAGGCTGGAGAGGCACATTTTCTGGCATAGAGGTGGCATTTGGTGTCTATTTTATGTGGTTACGTTATTGCAAATGGAAGTACAAGTCTTAACTCTTAACAGAATTATATATATGTTTTGAAGACTTTTTCAAAGATTGAACGTACGTAAATACACTTAAAAATTGTTTCTGCTTGAGCTGGAAGCACGAAATCTGTTAGAGACAGAATTTGCGTGGAAATACAATTAAGTGTGTGTGTGTATATATAATATATTGATATTGCTAAAGAAAAAGGCATATATGACAAAAAAAAAAAAAAATAGTTGGGTAGTTTGTATTTGACCAAACTAAATGGATAGTCATAGTAAGGTGTGCAAAAATTGTTTAGTCTGCATTAAACAATCATTAATCACATGGTTAACAGCAGTTTTCAAGTATCTTCTCTCCCATTTTCTTACAATGGCTAGCTGGTACATACCTACCCGGAACATGCCTAGCCTAAACTAGTGGAATGGTATAAGATTACGTTTTATCTATCATATGGAAGAAAGGAGAAAACTTAATCACGCCTTGCACATTCTTAATCATAAAAAAAATTGTCTAATAAGTTATATATCTTCTATTTTGAAAGATCAAAGTCAAATCTTGTGAAAATTAGACAATTTAAGACCAATTGAAACATTAAGTGAAAATTAAACATTGAATTTCAATATAAAACTTACATTTAATATAAAACTAATTAATAATAAGTTAAGTAACTTTATCTATTTTTAATTTACATACTTTTTATTATTTATTTAATACTGAATTTTTCTACTTAATAAATTTTAAAAAGGTGTTTACATTAATGTAAGTGT